ACAAATGGTATGTCAGTCTTTATAGTGCAGAGATTCAAGTACAGGAACAGGGATGCCTTGGTACAATTGTACAGGGCCTTTCTGGGACCACAGCCAGAATGTTGTATGCTGTTTTAGTCTCCTTAACTGAAGAAGGATGTTTTAGTCATGGAAGGAGTGCAACAAAGGATTACCAGACTGATTCCCACAGCAGCAAGACTGACGTATGAAGAAAGATTGCATAGATTAGGACTACGTTCATTGGAGTTTAGAAGGTTGAGGGTGGATAACATAGAAATGTAAAAAATTTGAACAGAACCAGACAAGGTAAACCCAGGAAGGATGTTTCTGATGACAACGGAGTCCAGACCAAGGGGTCACATTCAAAGGATACAACACATTTAGGACTGAGATGAGAATAAAATTCTTCACCCAGAGAGTGGTTGAAGCCAAAACATTGAATGTTTTCAAGAAAGAGTTAGGTATAGTTCTTAGGGCTAAAAGGATGAAAGGGTATGGGAATAAAGCAAAAAACAGGAACCAGGAACTGAGTTGGATGATCAGCCATGATCATATTGAATGGTGGGGCTGAATGGCCTACTCCTATTTTCTGTGTTTATGTTGGTCAGTGGTTCTCAAACTGCTCTATGGTTAAAGACTCTGTTTTCAATGGCTTAGTAATCATGGGACTTCTCATCTATATTATGATATACCATATCTCTAATGTGGAAGTGTTGCATGTAAGAAATACTTAAACAACGCTTTTAAAGGGCATTTTTCCAAATTTTAGTGACATTAACATATCTGCTTTTCATTGCAGTATATGCTGATGTTCGATGTAGACCAGGGCAAGGACGGAAGGATAAGTGGGGGGCAAGGGTAACGCTGGAGTTATGTAGAAGCGCACCATGTTAATGTTAACAGCAAAAACAGGCAGATTGCAAGAGCCGGGGAAAAATGATAAGGAACTTGGAAAGTTTATGGGGCGGGGGAAGAGACCATCAAGTATGAGAAAGGGAACCAGTAAAAGGTGTAAAACATGAGATAAAGTGAGGGCTGATGCATCAGTGCACAGGACAAAGCACACACCCCGATGCTTCTTTCTTACTGTTCTGAATGGTGTCATGGCAAGCCTGTGATTTGGCTCTGTTTTACACAATTCCTGAATTTGTCTTAGAGAATGCTAGTTCAGAACCATTGCTTTAATTATTTTGATATTGAGCACTTCAGGGGGAGGCAATGGCCTAGTGGTATTATCGCTGGACTATTAATCCAAAGACCCAGATAACGTCCTGGGGACCCAGGTTCAAATTCCACCAGGGCAGATGGTGGAATTTGAATTCAATAAAAATATCTGGAACTAAGAATCTAATAATGACTATGAACCCATTATCGATTGTTGGAAAAACCCATCTGGTTCACGAATGTCCTTTAGGAAAGGAAACTGCTATCCTTACCTGGTCTGGCCTACATGTGACTCCAGACCCACAGCAATGTGGTTGACTCTAATCTGCCCTCTGGGCAATTAGGGATGGGCAATAAATGCTGCCTGGTCAGTGACGCCCTCATCCTGTGAATGAATAAAGAAAAAAAAACTTTTGAATCACGTATTCTGCAAGCGTTTAGAACTCCATTAGATATTTTCAGCATTGTGCCATAACTAAAATCAAAGGAATTTGACTTGAAATATGTCAGCATAGATGTTTTGCTGATACCTAAAGCTATATCAAAAATGTTGAAATCAAGATTCTTTATATTGGTGCACCTTTATGGACCTATATCACAATTCCTTCACAGTTGCTGTGTGAAAATCCTGGAACTCCCTCCCTGACAATACTGAGTATACCTAACTCCCATGGATTTTTTTTTTCCATTACCTCATGGGACATGATGGCTGGCCAGCATTTATTGACAGTCCCTAGTTACCTTTGAGAAGGTGGTGGTGAGCTGTCTCCTTGAACTGCTGCAGTCTACGCACTGTAGGTTGACCCAAAGTGCCGTTACGGAGGGAATTCCAGGATTTTGAACCAGCGACAGTGAAGGAATGGTGATATATTTCCATGCCAGGATGGTGAGTGGCTTGGAGGGGGTCTTGCAGGTGATGGTATTCCCTCAAACCTACTGCCCTTGTCCTTCTAGATGGAAGTGGTTGGAGGTTTGGAAGGTGTTGTCTAAGGATCTTTGAATTTCTGCTGTGCATCTGGTAGATAGTTCACTCTGATGTTACTGTGTATTGGTAGTGGAGGGAGTGGATGCTTGTGGATGTGGTGCAGTCTGCTTTTTCTTGGATGGTGTCAAGCTTCCTGAGTGATTTTGGAATTGCACCCATCCCAGCAAGTGGGAAGTATTCCATCCCATCCTGACTTCTGCCTTGTAAAATGAGGGACAGGCTTTGGGGAGTAAATACTTGCCATAGTGTTCCTAGCCTCTGACTTGCTGTTGTACCCACTGTGTTTATGTTGACAAGTCCAGTTGAGTTTCTGATCAGTGGTAATTCCCAGAATGTTGATAGTGGGTGGTTGAGTAATGTTAACACCATCGAACATTATGGGGCAGTGGTTAGATTGTCTCTTATTGGAGATGGTCATTGCCTAGCATTTGAGTGGTGTGAAGGTTAGTTGCCAATTGTCAGCCCAAGCATGTATATTGCCCAGATTTTGTTATATTTAGACATGACCTGCTTCGGTATCTGAATAGTTGTGAATGGTGCTAAACATACTGCAATCGTCAACAAACATCCCCTTTTCTGACCTTATGATGGAGCGCAGATCATTGATGAAACAGCTGTTCATAGTTGGCCCGAGGAGACTATCCTGAGGAACTCCTGCAGAGATGTCCTTGAGCTGTGATGACTGACCTCCAACAACCACAATCATCTTCCTATGTGCTAGGTATGACACCAACCAGCAGAGACTTTGTCCCTGATACCCATTGATACCAGTTTTGCAAGGGATCCTTGATGTCACACTTGGTTGAATACAGCCTTGATGTCGAGGTCTGTCACTCTTGCCTCACCTCTGGAATTCAGCTCTTTTGATATGTTTGAAACAATCTGTAATGAGGTCAGAAGATTGGTGGCCCTGGCAGAATCTAAACTAGGAGTCATTGAACAGGTTACTTCTGAGCAGGTGCTGCTTGATAGCACCGTTGATCACACATTCATCACTTTATTGATGATCAAGAGTAGACTGATAGGGTGGTAATTGGCCAGATTGGATTTGTTGTACTTTTTTGTGTACAGGACATAAATTGAGCAATTTTCCACATTGTTGGGTAGATGCCAGTGTTGTAACAGTGAATTGGAAGAGCTTACTGCAATGGTTCCAGGAGGTGACTCACCACCACCACCAACACCTTAAAAACGATTAGGAATAGATAACAAATAAAGTTGGATAGCTTGGGGAGAGAACCACTGGCCAGGAGTGCCTCGAACCGCCCTTCAAAATGAACTAGGGCAATCCCTCGTCACCTACTTTACCTCTAGGGTTCCAGTGATGATCTTCAGTCCAGGCCTGCTGAAGGACTGCCAGAGCACACCATTCTGGAGTATGGCCACTAGAAATGTGCACAGTACTTCAAATGTGGCCTAACTAAAGTTTTATACACCTGCAACATTACATGCCATCTTTTGTACTCAGTGCCTCAACCAATGAAGGCAAGCATGCTGTATGCCTTCTTTACCACCTTATCCACTTATTTTGCCATTTTCAGGAAGATCCTTCTGTGTATTAATGCTCCTATGGGTCCTGTCATTTACTGTATACTTTGCTTTTGCATTTGACCTCCTAAAATGCATCACCTCACACACTTGTCCAGATTAAACTCCATCTGCCATTTCTCCAACCAACTTTCCAGCTGATCTATGTTCTGCTGCATCCTTGACAACCTTCCTTGTTATCCACAACTCCTCCAATTTTCATGTCATCGGTAAACTTATTAATCAGAGCACCAGCATTTTTATCCAAATCATTTAAACAATCGAGGTTTCAGCACTGATCCTTGTAGATGACCTTCAGTCATCAGAAAACTGTCCCTGTACAACTCCATCCGTCTTCCATGATCAAGCCAACTTTATATCCAACTTGCCTACTCATCATGGATTCCATGTGATTTTGCGAAAGCAGCACCAAACACCCCTACATTTAAAAGAACAACGACAACAAATGTTTGGAGCGACACCACCTGCAAGCTCCACTCCAAGACACTTACTATCCTGACATGGACTACAATGCCATTTCTTCACTATTGCTGGGTCAGAATCCTGACCTACCTTCTTAACCACACCTTTGGTATACTTATACCCCAAGGACTGTAGCACTTCAAAATAGCAGCTCATCACCACTTTCTCAGTTAGTGATAGGCAGAAAATATGGATCTTTCTAGCAACAAGGTAGAAAATGATTTTACAAATGTCTAATTGCTCCAAATGTCACAATGACCAATAAAATGGCTGCCAACCACCAGGCAGGCACAGGTGAGGCTGGTGATATAAGATGGTCGTATCAGGCTTCATGTGTCCATGCGTGTGGTGATGTCATCGGTAGATTCTGTGCGCAGTGATATCAACACCCACCCAAACACAGATTACTTCACCTTTTATTTCACATTTTTTATTTTATTGATCCCAAATTTGTGGTCTGTTTGTCATGGTTGCTCACTTGCTATCTAGTCATATTTAAGTTAATTAACACGCTGTAGAGCCTCTGAGAGGAGGTATTAAAACTGATCACAGTCAATACAAAAATTTCAGGTGCCTGTCAATGATGTCAACTTCCTGTTTAAGTATTCACACACTTTTGCACTACTTAGAAGTGCCATTTGAACCTTTCTGAGTCTCAAAGATAAAAATTGGCAATTGTTCATTCTACTTGACATGGACAATGTAACCCTGCTTCCCAATGTCATGAGTGATAATGGTCCAACCTCTACAGAGGGGTTTGTAACCTGGAGAGTCTGAGGCTGCCATGGAGCTTTGACAAGGTGAAGGACTGCAAGACAGCTTTGATTCCTTCCATATTTTTTAAACCTGCTGCTACGGATTAAACGACTCATTCTTGAGGCCCGATTCCGTCAGTAAAAATGGAAGAGTTTTCATGCTTTGAAAAAGTGATCGAACTACTCATAAATTCTTATACTCCACACCGCTTCTCCTCTCACACCACTATCCCACCCTCTGTTCTTTTCCCTGGGAAAACTTGTGTGAACATCTATCTTAACTATTCTTTTTCATTATCATGAGTCTAAAGAAAATTTCTTTTTAAAAAAAAAAAAAACTGATTTCCTGTTATGTTTTCCTGTCTATATTTTTATTTTGTATTAGCGGATCCCATATCGCTCAAGGCCTTCCCTGGCCACATCCAGTACTACACTCCCAAGGTGGTTGCTTGCAGATGCTTCCTCCTGCTCTGGCCTCTGCATTAAGACTCCCAACATTTGCTTTGAAATCCTGCCACCTCATCTCCCATCATATCCCATCCACTCAACTAGTCCTGGGCTCTGGGATGTAGATGGAGCATTAAATGGCTCTAAAATTAACAAAGAACGTTGCTGTGTTCCTCTAAATTTGTATGAAAAGATTTTGATTTCAAACATGCAACATAGTCTGTTTACCAAACTCTGGTAAAATGGCCAACAGTTCCCAAATGCAAAAATCACTTGTCTCTGTTTTTAATCCTACAGGTTCACGAGATGGTTCAATGGGATTATGGGAAGTGACTGAAGAAGTGTTAAACCAGACTGATATAAACTTAAATCCCACCCAAGTCCCCAGTTACACCCACATAACGCACAAGGCATTGAAGGATATTCCCAAGGAATATACAAGTCCATACAACTGCAAAGTGAGAGCTTTGGCTTTTAACAACAACAGCAAGGTAAATTTCAACAAAGTCCATTTATGTCCACAAGAGTGCGTTTTGGAAAATTTGGCAAATTTGTTTTTCTTTTGTACTTTTTGTATAATTTACTCTATCCAAAAATATGTTCTTGCCATAAGAAATAAATGCTGGTGAGACTTGTGTTCTTTCTGTAATTTCCTTGCAGATTATTTCATAAATCCTTTTTGCCAGTTGGTGGTCATCATGCAATTTGTTTCTTAAATTTAGTCAAATTGATTCAGTCCTTGAATTCTTTAGCACATTTTTTTTCCCCCACAATATACTGCTTAACCAATATTTCCCCTCCATCCTCCTTTACCCCTTACCACTTCCCCTGAACATCCCATATTACGGAATATTTAAAATGCACCCTATTATAGCCCCACGTGAATTGAGAATCATCAGTACAAATTTGCATCCTGCTATATTGCTTATGGTTGAAGTGACTCACTTGTATTTCCCTATTCTACCTGTACAATATTTTGAAATTAATTGTCCAATAAACACTAAGTGACAAAGTTTCGTCTGGATAGGAAGGTATATTTCAGTGTGCATGCAGCCACACTTCAGTTTTTTTTTGAGGAAAGTTGATAATCTTAAAATTCAGAAATCAGCGTTATTATTTTGGGTCCAGTGACCCTTCAACAGAACTTATTCAGAACAAGTAATACAAGGCTTATTTTCTTTAGAGCCATAATATGGATGCTTTAATCCATGCTCTTATGGATGCTTATTATTATAGGTGAGGTTTATTTTTGCCCCAAGGAGTGTGAAATATTTTCCATTGATATTCATAGAATTTGACAGCTGTATATAATGGCCCGGATTTTGCCGTGGCCAGGCAGTGTTATTCCAGCATAGATGGGAGTTGCGCGTGGGGACCCTGCAGAATCCCTTTTATAGCAGACTCTGAAAGAATTGCTGGAAAATCAAAGATTCTGCTGGGTGCTTTGTATAAAGCCTAAAACCCTCTGAAAATTTCCATTTAATTCGGGGTCGTACACAGCGTCCTCACTAGAATATCCCACCTTCTCGCTGAAAGTGCCAGCCTCCTTTCTTTAACTGGCACCCCACCTACCAGTGTGTGCGGCTTGAGACTCTCAAGAATGCACAGGTTAGCTTTTTCCAAGAGTAGTGAAATAGTTTGACCTGAGGTGACTTATATTTTAAACTACAATTGAAAAGCTGTATCTTATATGCATTATACTATAAGCAGGCGTGCAGTTCTCCTAGAATCAGTTCACAATGATTCTTAGCTCCTGAATATGTACTTCTGTTCTATTACTTTCTCAGCCTGATGACTTCCAACCCTAAATGTGTCCTTCACAGTAATAATGTTACTGGAGATCCTTCCCCTAGCACAAGTTAAGAAAATCATCAGCCATGTTTTAACGCTTTGCAAATTTGGTTTTGTCAGCCTGAACATGAACCTTTACCCATATTCAGCACACTAAACCAAAACAACTTCGGCTTTGAGCTGCTTTCTTTGTCCCAGACACTGACAGACTCGTCAACCTGTGGTATTCTGGTTCTGAGGAAGAGTCACTGGACCCAAAACGTTAACTCTGTTTTTTCCCTTCACAGATGCTGTCAGACCTGCTGAGCTTTTCCAGCAACATTGTTTTTGCTCCTGATTTACAGCATCCGCAGTTCTTTTGGTTTTTATTCTGTGGTATTCAGTGATGTTTTAGGAAAGCCTATAACCTGATGTTTAGAATGGCTTATTCTACACTCTTCCCCATGGCTGCATGAGTCATGTGGCTCTTGTAGGTATGAATGCTGCTTTGCTACCCTTGGCAGCCCATCTCTCTCCTATGTTGAATCTAAATGTATAGTTTGAAGCGAAATTGTCTACAACTTCACATTGTCAACACTTTGCTGTGTCGTTGGTGCGTCCATCAATTTAGTAGCATGCCGTTGCTGCCAATGTTTCCAGCTGTGAACACCTCGGATCAACTTCAAGTGAAACAATCTTGTGCCCCTTTAATCCCAAACAATCAAACCACCAGTTCGGGGCGACTTCATTGCAGGTCATATTATCTCCTTTGTTTTACCCAAAATAAAAGGAGAAGGGCTAAGATATAACATTCTTTGCAGGGGAGGAGAGAGAAACTGAAATTATCTTCCCTTACAGTTTATAAGCAATGTGTTTAGTTTTGGAAAGATAGGTATGTATTTTTCTAAGTACCAGCCATTTGTTAGTTAAAGAATAAAAGTTGTTTATTCAGAGATTTACCCTGAGTCTAAATGCTGTGTTGGTCATTGAATATACACTTGGTAGTGTTAAAGAGAATGGAGAACTTAAAAGAATGGTTCAAACTTTGTGTCTAGCTCACTAGTTTACTTCTCCAGAGGAAGAGAGTTTTTCCCATTCTTGAATGACAATTTAGGTGAATTTAGTGGAGTCAAATGTCGGTATTATTACAGAATTCCTGCAGAGGTCACTGTCTTGGATCTTGGATTCAAGAATTGGCCTTGGAGGCTTTTGAAAATGATACAGCCACCAGGTTCTTAAGATCGTTCAGCTTTTTGCTGCAGTTGTTTTTACTTTGATTTTGTACTAACTGCCAGTGTGAACATTAAGGGACAGTCCCAAAACCGTGGCTACCCACCTTGTAGCTGCTTGCGGCTCCTTTCCAGATATAGGATTGGCCTTTCTTTGTTTAGCCATATCCTGGGCTAATGTTTCCAGTCATTGTCATCACCATCATTGTGGGGCGACACGGTGGCTCAGTGGTTAGCAGTGTTGCCTCACAGCACCAGGGACCCTGGTTCAATTCCCATGCTTGCATGACTGTGAATGAGGAGTCTGCACGTTCTCCCCATGTCTGTGTGAGTTTCCTGCAGGTTCTGGTTTTCTCCCACAGTCCAAAGATGTGCAGGTTAGGTGGATTGGCCATGCTAAATTAACTGTAGTGTTCAGGGATGTGCAGGCTAGGTGGATTAGTCATGGTAAATGCAGGGTTATGGGGATAGGGCCGGGGATTCTGTCAAGATGGGATGTTCCGGAAGGTTGATGCAGACTTGATGGGCTGAATGTGTTTTTTCCACACTGTAGGGATTCTATGATTCTGTTCTATTTTTCTTTCATCATCACCTTTCTTTTTGCCCCCCCCCCTCCAAAACAAAGTCCTCCTGAACAAAAACAGAAGTTGCTGGAAAAGCTCAGCAGGTCTGGCAGCATCTGTGAAGAAAAAAATCGGCGTTAACATTTCGGCTCTGGTGACCCTTCCTCAGAACCGGTCACCAGGCCCGAAACATTAACTCTGATTTTTTTCTTCACAGATGCTGCCAGACCTGCTGAGCTTTTCCAGCAACTTCTGTTTTTGTTCTTGATTCATGGCATCTGCAGTTCTTTCGGTTTTTAGAAAGTTCTCCTGGGTGACTTGATTCCATTACTGACTTAGTTTCTGAAAAGATCATTCAAGCCATTTCTGGATGGTTTCAAGATATCGGTGTTGACACTTCTTAGTCCGAAATAGATCGAGTTGTCTTTCTAAGGCAGCTTGAAATAATGTATCGAAGTTGCAAATATCACCTGGCCCTTTGGAAACTAAACAAAATGAGTTTCATGTGAGTGGCCCTTTGAAGCAAAATATTAGTTCCCAGAGGCTTCCACAGGAGCGTAGTCCAGGTTCGATGTTCTGTATAGAACATAATGTTATGGGCTTTAAACCCTATCATTGAAAGAAAATATTTTTACAAATTGGCAAATTAAAACTTATATTTTTGTAAAGATTAAACATGTATTTTATCAATAATCCTTAGACTGAAACTTGGTTAAAGAGCAAAAAATTTTGATAACTCATACAGTATAAAAGAAATGTGATTATTGTGATTGATTTGAACTCTAATTTGCATATCTGTCATCAAATAATTAGACATGAGTTTGATTTGTACTCAACATTTCTGTTAACTGTTTGACAGGAACTTGGAGCAGTATCTCTCGATGGTTACTTTCATTTATGGAAAGCAGAGGACAATTTAACAAAGGTATATTTCCTTTGTTTATTAAATTTATTGTAAAATAACACACCGAAAATTATATTTAATGAGGTAACTTACAGTTTGGCTACCTATTGTCCTTACTGTTGAAACAATTATTTTGTATTATGATATGTTGCTAAATAGTAAATTAAATAAATGAAGACCAGTGTCTTTGGTTAACTTATTTACCGAGGAGTTAAATGAATTCTTTTTGTCAAAATGTTGGAAAATAGAGTAAGTTGGTTGGTTGGTAAAAATTTTGTTGGTTGCTTTTAAGATGTTTTGAACTTATTTCTGGTATTACACTACAGATTTACTCAGTTGCCCTGAAAGAGTTTGGAGAGAGAAATCATGCTATATAACCAAGATAATTTTCTCATCAAGGTCTGGATGGTACACACTTAGAAGGGTCAGTGTAGACTTATGTGTAGAATAGATTTGGTGTAGAATGCACCATCTGCACTGGAGGAATTCTATGATTCTATGAAGTTTCTGTCCAAACAAATGTTTAAGAGTAGTTAATTCGCAACATATTTAAACTTATCTGTTACATGGTATTTTGTTTGGTAATTTTGAATACCTTTGTTAAAATATTTACTTCATACATTCAGCCTCTACCGAAGGTTGTCTTTAGCTTTAAAAGTCAAAAGAACTGCGGATGCTCTAAATCAGGAACAAAAACAAAGTTGCTGGAAAAGCTCATCAGGTCTGGCAGCATCTGTGAAGGTAAAAACAGAGCTAACGTTTCGGGTCCGGTGACCCTTCCTCAGAAGTGATTGTGGCTGGGAAAACGTCAGTTTATATGCAGAAAAAAGGGAGGTGGGTGGGGTAGGGAGTAAACAATAGGATAGAGCCCAAAGAGTGAGAAGAGTCGTTGGATAGACTAAGGAGTTGATAATGATCAGGCTGGGAGGGTGAATAGCTGTTAATGGGGACTATCAGTGACTGACTAACTACCTTCACCCACAGTGGTGTGTAATGGCAGGCTATGTGGTAACAAGGCCTGGTGTGTGGGGTAGGGGGCAGGGACATGGAAGACTATAGGCCCTAAAATTATTGAACTCAATATTGAGTCCAGAGGGCTGCAGGGTCCCCAAGCGGAAAATGAGGTGCTGTTCTTCCAGCTTGCATTGATCTTCGCTGGAACATTGCAGTAAGCCTGAGACAGAGATAGAACATAGAACAGTACAGCACAGTACAGGCCCTTCAGCCCACAATGTTGTGCTGACCTATTATCCTACTAAGATCAATCTACCCTGCATACCCTACATTTTACTATGCTCCATGTGCCTATCCAAGAGTCGCTTAAAAGTCTCTGAAGTATCTGACTCCACTACCACTGCTGGCAGTGCATTCCACACGTCCACCACTCTCTGTGTGAAAAAGTATCTCTGACATCTCCCCTATGCCTTCCTTCAGTCACCTTAAAATTATGCCCCCTCGTAATAGTCATTTCTACCCTGGGAAAAAGTCTCTGACTATCCACCCTATCTATGCCTCTCATCATCTTATAAACCTCTATCAAGTCACCTCTCATCCTTCTTCGCTCCAGGGAACAGGGTGGTGCGTAAAAGTGGCAGGCAACAGGTAGTTCAGAGTCTTTCTTGCGAGCAGACCGTAGATGTTCTTCAAAGCGGTCATCCAGTCTACACTTTGTTTCCCCAATGTAGAGGAGACCACATTGTGAGCAGTGAATGCAGTCGACTAGATTCTGGGAAGTGCAGGTGAAGTGTTGCTTTGTTTGGGCCATTGGATATTGGGGAGGGAGGAGGTAAATGGGCAGGTGTTGCACCTTCACCGGTTACAGGGGAACATGCAGTAGGGCTTTGGGGAGATCTTGACGGTGAAGGAAGTGTGGACCAGGGTGTCCTGGAGGGAATCGTCCCTGCGGAAGCCGGACAAGGGAGGGGAGGGGAATAGGTGTCTGGTGATGGCATCTTGCTGGAGGTGGCGGAAATGGCATCTGATGATCTTTTGGATGTGGATGCTGGTGGGATGGTAGGTAAGGACAAGGGGAACAAGGGGGAATCAAAAGTTTCTTTAGTTATTTCATGCTGCTGCTAGGCAGTAACAACACAAGTATTGCTCTCCACAAACAGGATACTGCTGTTGAGCCAAAATGAGGTACTGCCTAGCACACAAATAAATAATGTTATGTGAATTCCAGTACTATTGCCAGTGTAGGTCGCAGATCCCAAAGACTGACGGATCATATCAAGTAGCATGTGTTAGCTGTTCACAATAAGCAACGTAGTGACTGTACCCAACAAGAACCTTGGCATCATGTAGGTAACAGACCCTTTAGGACTCTCTCTGTTTACTGCAGAGAACAGTATCTGCTCCTATGATGCTGCTTGGCCTGCTGTGTTCATCCAGCCCTGCACCTTGTTGTCACAGTATCCATTGCCCTTACAATCCCCTATTTCTATGTCATTTCATTCCCCTCCATCTTCTTGCATGGCGCTCTGTACCACATTCACTCATCCTACCTGCAGTTTGTGCCCTTGTACGCAAGGAAAGCCAAGAATCTTGTAGCTGTTGAAAGCAGGCACTTGTTGAGACTCCTCTGAAGCTAAATTTTGCAGTCCAATACCTACTTAGTGCAAGAGTCACAACTCTTACTGCTCACCACGGACCAAATTCGATGCAATTAATCTAAGGAGTATGACTGTTCCTTGAAACACTGTGTACAGGTAACTGTCTGCCGCCTGACTTTTTCACATGATTTATGGGTTATGGGCATTGTTACTTGAGCCAACATTTATGGTCGATCTTTAGTTGTCCTTGAAAAAGGTGATGCTGAGCAGTCTCCTTCTAGTGCTATAGTCCACTAGCTATAGGTAGATCCATAATGCCATTCGGGAGAAGTAATAGGATTTTGTGCAAGCAACCCTGAAAGAATGGCGCTAAATTTTCAAGTCAGAATGATGTCCGGCTTGAAGGGGAACTTGCAGGTGATGGTGTCTGTTGCCCTTGTCCTCCTAGATGGTTGTGGTCATGAGTTGGAAGGTGTTCAGGAGCCTTGGAGAATTTCTGCAGTGCTCCTTATAGATGGTACACACTGCTGCTACTGAACATCAGTAGTAGAGGAAGTTTATGGATGTGGCGCCAATCAAGCAGACTGATTCGTCCAGTTCAGTGTCATGTTTCTTGAGTGTTGTTGAACTGTGTTGTCCAGGCATTTTGAGGGAGTCTTTCATACACACAACCAGAAGGCTGTGTTGGCTTTAGAGAGGGAACAGAAAAGATTTACCTGGATGTTGCCTGGTATGGAGGGCATTAGCTATGAGGAGAGGTTGGAGAAACTTGGGCTGTTCTCACTGGAACGACGGAGATGGAGGGGGTCCTAATACAGGTCTACAAGATTTATGAAGGGTGTGGACAGACTGGACAGTCAGAAGCTTTTTCCCAGGGTGGAAGAGTCAGTTACCAGGGGCCATGGGTTTAAGGTGCGAGGGGCAAGGTTTAAAAGTGATGTACGCAGCAAGTTTTTTTACAAAGAGAGTGGTGGGTGCCTGGAACTCGCTGCCGGGGGAGGTAGTGGAAGCAGATACTGTAGTGACTTTTAGAGGGCGTCTTGACAAATATATGAATAGGATGGGAATAGAGGGATATGGTCCCTGGAAGGGAAGGGGATTTTAGTTGTGATGGGTGGCATGTTGGTGTAGGCTTGGAGGGCTGAAGGGCCTGTTTCTGTACTGTAATTTTTCTTTGTTTTCTTTGTTCACCACATTGCTGATTTGTGCCTTGTGGATGGTGAATAGAATTTGGAGAGTCAGATATGCACGCTGTACCATTCCCAACTTCTGACCTGTTCCTACGGTCACAGTCTTCATATGGTTCTTTAATGTTCAGTTTCTGGTTGATGGTAACTTCAGGATTTTGACAGTAGGAGATTCAGTGATGGTAATGCCATTGAATGTCATGGGGTGATAGTTGGAATCTTGTTGGAGATGGTCATTGTCTGACACTTTGTGTTGTAAATGTTACTTGGCTGTTGGCAGCCCAAACCTCGATATTGTCCGGGTCTTGGTGCATTTGGATGTGGACTACTTCAATATTTGAGGAGCCACAAATGTTGCTGAACATTGTTTGTCATCAGATAATGACCCCACTTATGGCCTTATGATGGCAGGAAGATCTGGATGAAGCAGCTGAAGATGGAGGGTAGTGAAGAAGCAGTTTAGTACTCTTGCATTTATTGGTCAGTGCATTGAGTATAGCAGTTGGGTTGTCATGTCGCAGCTGTACAGGGCATTAGTTAAACCACTTTAGGAATATTGCATACAGTTCTGGTCTCCCTGCTATAGGAAAGATGTTGTTAAACTTGAAAAGGTGCAGAAAAGATTTACAAGGGTATTGCCATGAAGGGAGGGTTTGAGCTATAGGAAGAGGCTGAATAGGCTGGGGTTATTTTCCCTGGAGCTTCACAGGCTGAGGAATGACCTTTTGGAGGCATATAAAATCTTGAGGGCCATGGATAGGGTGAATAATTGAGCTTGTTTTCCCAGGGCAGGGAAGTCCAAAACTAGAGGATACAGGTTTAAGGTGAGAAGAGAAAGAATTGGAAGGAACGTAAGGCGCAACTTTATCATGCAGAGGGTGGTGCGTGTATGGAATGAACTGCCAGACGAAGTGGTGGGAGCTGTCACAACTACAATGTTTAAAAGGCATCTGGATGGGTACATGAATAGGAAGGGTTTAGAGGAATATGGGCCAAATGCTGGCAAATGGAACCAAAATAATTTAAGAGATCTGGTTGGCATGGGCAAGTTGGACCAAAGGGTCTTTTTCTATGCTGTACAACTCTATGATTAAATGGCTGGGCTGAGGACACTGCACTGAGGAACTGCAGCAGAGATAACCAGGATCTGAGGTGACTGACCTGCAGCATCTTCATTTGTACTAGGTATGACTCCAACCAACAGAGAGTTTTCTCCCAATTCCCAATTGCTGTAGTTTTGCAAAGACTCCTTAATTGCATACTGAGACAACTGCCACCTTCATGTCAAGGACAGTCATTCTCACCTCACCTCTGGAATTCAGTTATTCGTCCATGTTTAAATGCAGGCTTTGATGAGGCTAGGAGCTGAGAGGCTGTGATGGAACCAAACTGAGGGTCAGTGAGCAGGTTGGAGTGAAACAATATGGCACTATTGATGACATCCACCATCACTGTACTAATGATCAAAAATAGCCTGATCGGATGGTAATTGTATGAGTTGCTTTTATCTTGCTTTTTAAGTGGAAGCCTTACCTCAGCAATTTTCCACACTTACGTAGATACCAGTGTTTTAGCTGTACTGGAGTAGCTTGGCTAGGCATGTGGCACCTTCTGGAGCGCAAGAGTTCAGTGTTATGGCCAAATTATGTTCAGGGCCTTTAGCTTTGGTGGTGTCTATGCCTCCGAACATTTAGAATCATAGAGATGTACAGCTTGCAAACAGACCCTTCGGCCCAACTCATCCATGCCAACTGGATATCCTAGATAAATCTAGTCCCATTTGCCAGCATTTGGCCCATATCCCTCTTAAACCCTTCCTATGCATATACTCATCCAGGTGCCTTTTAAATGTTGTAATTGTACCAACCTCCACTACTTCCTCTGACAGCTCATTCCGTACACGCACCACCCTCTGCGTGAAAAAGTTGCCCCTTAGCTCCCTTTTAAATCTTTCCCCTCTTAGCGTAAACCTATGCCCTCTAGTTTTTGACTCCCCCACTCTGGGGAAAAGACCTTGTCTATTTACCCTATCCATGCCCTTCATGATTTTATAAACTTCTGTAAGGTCTCCCCTCAGCCTTCGACACTCCAGGGAAAATAGCCCCAGCCTATTCAACCTCTCCCTGTAGCTCAAACCCTCCAGCCCTGGCAACATCCTTGTAAATCTTTACTGAACCCTCTCAAGTTTCACAACATCCTTCCTATAGCAGGGAGACCACAATTGAATGCAGTATTCCAAAAGTGCCCTAACCAATATCCTCTACAGTGACAACACTCCCAACTCCTATACTCGATGCACTAACCGATAAAGTCAAGCGTAACAAACGCCGCTTTCACTATCCTTTCTACCTGCAACTCTGTTTTCAAGGAACTATGAACCTGCATCCCAAGGACTCTTTGTTTGGCAACATTTCCCAAGCCCTTTCCATTAAGTGTATAAGTTCTCCCCTGACTTCCCGAACCAAAATGCAGCACCTCACAGTTATCTACATTAAACTCCCTCTGCCACTCCTCAGCCCATTGGCCCATGTGATCAAGATCCCGTACTAACCATACCTCCTATGTTCACAGCTAGCACCGATCCTTGTGGCACACCGCTGGTCACAGGCCTCCAGTCTGAAAAGCAACCCTCCACACCACCCTCTGTATTCTACCTTTGAGCCAGTTCTGTATCCAATTGTTTCAGAGATAGTAGGAACTGCAGATGCTGGAGAATCTGAGATAACAAGGTGTAGAGCTGGATGAACACAGCAGGCCAAGCAACATCAGAGGAGCAGGAAGGCTGACGTTCCGGGCCTAGACCCTTCTTCAGAAATGAGGGATGTGTTGGGCCATAAGGTGCAGATTGTATTGGAGTTACAATTCAGCTGTTGCTGATGACCCACAGCACCTCATAGATGCCTGGTCTTGAGATGCTAGAACTATTAGAAGTCTGAATAAAAACCAAAAGAACTGCGGATGCTGTAAATCAGGAACAAAAACAGAAGTTGCTGCAAATGTTTAGCAGTGCTGGCAATATCTGATTTTTTTTCTGTTCTGTTTTTATTCCAATTAGAAGTTTATCCTGTTTAATACAGTACTAGTGCTATAAAGCATGGTGGAGAGTACTCTAACAGTGAAGTTGGGACTTCATCTCCACTAGGACCATCCACTGGTCACACTTACTGATACTGTCATCGAGAGAAGCATCTGTGGTAGGCAGATTGGTGAGGATGGAGTAAAGAATGCTTGTCCTGTCGGCGGTTCCCTCATCACTTGCCGCAGACCCCCAGTCTCGTAGCTATGTCCTTTAGGTCTCGATCTGCTCAGTAATTCATGGTGCTGGTGAGCCACTCTTGGTATTTGACATTGAAGTTCCCATGCAGAGTTCATTCTGCAATCCTGCCACCCTTGGTACTTCCTCCAATTGCAGTTCAATGTGGAGGAGGAATGATCTGTCAACTGAGGGGTTACAGTCTGTGGAAATCAGCAGGAGGTTTCCTTACCCTTTCTTTGACCAGATGTCATGAGGCTTCATAGGGTCCCAAGTCAATATTGAGGACCCCTATGACAGCTCCCTCATGATTGTATATCACTGTGCCACCACCGCTGCTTGGTTTGCCCTGCCAGTAAGACAGAACAAACCCAGTGATCCTGCTTGGAACATTGTGTGTAAGGTATGATTCTGTGAGTATGACTGTCAAGCTGTTGCACCGTTAGTCTGAGTGACAGCTCTCCCAATTTTGGTATGTTACTAAGGAGGACTTTGCAGTGTCATTATCATAATCATTTTTGATATCTTAGTCAATGCCAGGTGGTCCATCCAGTTCCTTGTCTTTTTTTTCCTTTCTAACGGTTGGTGAAACTGAGTGCCTTGCAAGGCCATTACAGAGAACAGTTAAGAGTCAGCTTCATTGCTGTGGATCTGGAGTCACATATAACAGATGAGGAAAGGATGACAGTTTACTTCCCTCAAGGACATTAGTAAACCAGATGGATTATTATTAAAATTGACAATAGTTTACAGAGACATCACTAGTATATTAATTCTAGATGTTTATTATATTCAAATTCTACCACCTGCCATATTGGGATTTCAACCCGGATCATCAGAGTGTTATCTGGATCTCTCGATTACAGTCTAGCTACAATGCTACTTGATCATCATCTACCCATTGCAGTCTCCCAAGCTTGGTCCCCAGCTTATCAGCTCCAACATAAGAACAAAAGAACTAGGGGCAGGAGTAGGCCATCCGGCCCCTTGAGCCTGCCCCGCCATTCAATAAGATCTTGACTGAACTTTTTGAGACTGAGCTCCACTTACCCACCTGCACATCATAACCCTTAATTCCTTTACTGTACAAAAATTTATCTAGCCTTGCCTTAAACACATTCAGCGAGGTAGCTTCAACCGCTTCACTGGGCAGGGAATTCCACAGATTCACAACACTTTGGGTGAAGAAGTTCCTCCTGACCTCAGTCCTACATCTGCTTCCCTTTATTTTGAGGCTATGCCCCCTAGTCCTAGTTTCACCTGCTCGTGGAAACAACCTCCCTGCCTCCACCTTATCTATTCCCTTCATAATCTTATGTTTCTATAAAATCTCCCCTCATTCTTCTGAATTCCAATGAGTATAATTCCAGCCTGCTCAGTCTCTTGTCATAATCCAACCCTCTCAACTCTGGAATCAACCAAGTGAATCTCCTCTGTACCCCCTCCAGTGCTAGTATATCCCTTCTCAAGTAAGGAGACCAAAACTGCACACAGTACTCTGGGTGTGGCCTCACCAGGACCCTATACAGCTGCAGCATAGCCTCCCTGTTTTTAAACTCCATCCCTCTAGCAATGACAGTGCAACTTTATCTTATGTAGCAGCCTTTGGCGTGGCACCTTGTCAAATGCCTTCTTTACACATACGACCTACCCCTAGTAACAAAATGAGTGACAGTGATCTAATTCAGGGACATATCCTCATTTAACCCATGTAAGCATATATGGAATTAGCATAAAAGAAAATTTAGCAATCTGTAAAATTCAGCTTCAAATAAAATTAAATGTGTTTTCTATTCAAGTTGCTGTCTACCAAGTTGCCGCACTGTCGAGAAAATGTTTGCTTGGCATATGGACAAGAGTGGTCAGTATATGCTGTGGGGTCGCAAGCACATGTTTCTTTCCTTGATCCAAGGCAACCTCAAAGCTACGTAAAATCAGTCAGTTCCAGGGAGCGGGGCAGTGGTAAGTTGGAAGAAACTGAAGCTGTGTTGTCTACTTGTGACTTAGTTGGCTAAATGCATTGTCCTTTTTTTTTCTGGATCCACAGGCATTCATTTATTTTCTTATATCCTTTCTTGAAATAAAATGAATATGTATTTAACAGGTTAGAAGTTCAAACCAGAATATTGGCATTTTACAATTCTTCATTTAGATGAGAATGAAGTTTTTAACATGAAATATTTAAAAAATTACATCTTTTGTTTTTTGTTGGAGAGACGTTCTGCACTCTTTTATATGCACTCTTTTATATGCTGACAAGAGTACTACTGGCCTTTATATTTTTAAGATATTCACAAGACACATATCCAACTTGATTATTTAAATTTGTACAATAACTTAACATACTTCTGCTCTGAAAAAAAAATGAAAATAAAACAACCAGGTAAGTACTATCTTAGCTGTTGGACAACTGCTTTTTTACGTGGGTGTCACTGGCAAGGCTGGCATTTGTTGTCCATTTCTAAGTTGTCCTTAACCTGAGCAGTTTCCTAGACCATTTCAGACAGTTAAAAGCCAACCATATTGCTGTGGGTATGTAGTCACATGTAGGCCAGATCAGGTAAGAATGGTGTATTTTCTTCCTTAAAGAACATTAGTGAACCAGAGAGGTTTATGTGGACAATGGGCAGTAGTTACGTTAGTTGCCACTGGGGCAACTTTTAAGTCCACACTTTGATTGAATTCACATTTCATCATCTGCCATGATGTGATTTGAACCTGTGTCCCAAACCATGAAGGTACTAATTTTTCTGTACATCAGAGGTGGAGGTGCATGCTCTTACTAGTTTTAATCTACAATTGCATCTACCTAATCATCAGCTGAGAGGGGCCCTTTCATATCAACAGATGTGAGACCAAATTGTTTCTTTTTACATTCATAGGATGGGCTTGTTGCTGTCTGAATGAACGTTTATTGCCCATCCCTGGTTGCCCTTAAGAAAGTGGCGGTTAGCTATCTTTTTGAACCACTGCAGTCCACATGCTGTAGGTAGACCCATAATGCCACTAGGGAGGAAGTTCCAGGATTTTGAAGCAGTAACAGTAGGAATGGTGATATAATTCCAAATCAGGATAGTGAGTAGCTTCAAGGGGAACTTGCAGGTGGTTGTGTTACCATGTATTGGCTGCCCTTAGTTTGGAAGGTGCTGTCTGAGGAAACTTGGTGTATCTTGTATCTTGTAGATGGTATACACTGCTGTTACTGGGGATCAGTGGGAAACGGGATGAACATTTGAGAATGTTGCATCAAGTAAGTACACTGCTTTGTTCTGGATGGTGTAGAGGTTCTTCAGTGTTCTTGAAACTGCAGTCAAACATGCAAGTGCAGAGTATTCTGTCGTACCTCTGACTTATGCCTTGTCGATGTTGGACGTGCTTGTGAAGTCAGGAGGTGAGTTATTCACTGCAGGATTACTAGTTTCTGACCTGTTCTTGTAGCCATTGTATCTAAATAGCAGGTCCAGTTCTGTTTTTGGACAGTGGTAACCTCCAATGTTATTTGAGGGTTTCAGTGATGATAAAGCTATTGAATGTCAAGGGATGATGGTTGGATTTTCATGTTGGAGATGGTCATTGCCTGTTGTTTGTGAATGTTACTTGCCACTTGTCAGCCAAGCCTAGATATTGTCCAAGTCTGGTTACATTTGTACATGGACTGCTTCAGTATTTGAAGAGTTGCAAATGGTGCTGAGCATTACACAATCATCAGCTAGCATCTGACGTCTGACCTGATGATGGAAAGAAGGTAATTGGTGAAGCAGCTGAAGAGGTTTGGGCTTACGGCACTACTGAGGAATTTCTGCAGAGATGCCCTGGGCTAAAATCACTGACCTGCAACAATTGCAACCATCTTCCTTTGTGCCAGGTATGACTTTCAATTAATGGAACATTTTCTCCCAGTTCCCTTTGATTCAGTTTTGCAAGGGCTCCTTGATGCCACACTTTGTCAAATACAGCAATGCAGACCTAAGAATTTGCTCCACCATTAGATACGATCATAGCTGATCTCATCTCGGACTCAACTCCACTTTCCTGCTTGCTTCCTTTTAGCCTTTTAACCCATTTGTAATTAAAAATCTAGCTGCTTAAATTTATTCATATACTGGAGTCCACCACACTCTGGGATAGTAAATTTAACATATTCATGGCCCCTTGAGCAAAGTAATTCCTCCTCATCTCAGTTTTAAATCTGCCACTCCTGAGATGAAAACTGTAACGTCATGTTTAAGATTGTTCCACAAGGGGAAACATCCGCTCTGTGTCTACTTTGTCAATCCCCTTAAACATCTTTTATATCTCTGTTATATCTCCTCTCTCTCTTCCAAACTGTAGCGAGTATTAGCCTACAATGCTCATTGTCTCCTCATAAGACAAACTGTTGGAATTACTCCAGTGAACCTTCTCTGAACTTCTTCACATGTATAGTTAATCAAGTAAGGGAATCTAAACTGTGTAGAATTCCAGATGCAGCAATGCCTTGAAGCAACAATTTGCCTATTTTTATGCTCCATTCCTTTAGCAATAAATGCCAAAATTCCATTTGCCCTCCTCATTATCTGCTGTATCTGTGATTGATGCACGAAGACACCCAGATCCCTCTGCACCAAACCTTTTTGTATTTTCTCTCCATTTAGATAATTTGCCTTTTACTCTTCCAACCAAAATAGATAACTTCACACTTATCTACATTAAACTCCATCTGCCAAATTTTGGCCCGTTCACCTACCGATCCATAGCCATTTATAACTTTCTTATTTCTTCATTGCATTGTCTTTATGACAAGGGCAGTCACTCTTATCTTGCCTCTGGAATTCTTGTCTAGTTGCTACCTGGCGTTTTGAATGTTAAATCCACCAAAATTATCATCCTGAATGGGCACGATGGGCCTGTACGGTAAACATTTGAGCCTATTACCTGCACTAAATATCTGCCTATACCCAAGATTTTAGCATGTGTACAGTAAACTTGCGCCACAATAGATCACATATTGATGTTAGGATGCCCAAAGACGACAAAAGTTGTTATGTAAAGATTTTGAAGTCATGATTAATGTTCTCTGGGGCTAATTGATCATTTATCAATATTCTCGATTGTCATTTATATGTTTGTTCTTTTACTGTAGCTTTATTCTTCTCTTTTTATTCATGTATAATTGTGCACTATTGTCTGGTTGAATCTTAATTTTTAGAGAAACATACTTGTTCAGAACTTTGTTGGTCATCAGATTGTATCTCCTTTGTTGATCAAGGTTACTTTTTCCAATTTACCTGCAATAATGCTTTCCTTGTCCCTTTGTAATTAAACTCTGCTTTTTCGATCTATTACTTTGATATGTGTTTGACTGATGGCAATCTCAATTGTTCGAAAAGTTAGGACCAAGGATCAGGTTGTGATCACTATTGGATAGATTGTCTCCTGTGCTTCTTCCGCTTAATCATCTCTGGTTCATTTCCTATTAGCAGATTATTCCTTCCTTTTACAGAAGAAAGGAACGTAGGAACAGGAGATGGCAATTCAGCTGATTGAGCCTGCTTCTGTATTTAATACAATCATTGCTCATCGAGCACTTCAGTGCTGTTTACTCACGTTTTTCCATTGATGATCAAAAATTTATCAATTTGTACTTCAAGTATATTCAATGTCTGAGCTTGCACAACCCTCTGGTAGACAAAATCCAAAGATCTGAATGAAATACTTCCTCCTGGTTTCTGTGCTAAATCGCATTCCCTTTATTTTTAAATTGTGCCCCAGTTCAAGACTCCACAAACATCTTGGCTGTATCTCCCCTGTCTATTTCTTCCAAGTATTTTACAGATTTTAATGAGATCACCTCTCATTCTTTGAAACTCTACAGGATACAGGCCCAATTTGCTCAATCTCTCTTCATTGGACAAACCTAGCATCCTGGGTACATGTCTTGTGAATCTTTGTTATGCTTCCTCTATAGAAATAAGATCTTGCATGAGATAAGGATACCAAAACCGCATGTAGTCCTCTTGTTTATTTTTCCACATTATGTTCCGTCTGCCATTCAAGCCCATTCACTAGGCCTGTTGAAATCCTGAAGCTGTTCCTCACAACACACATTCCTTCTTAGCTTTGTATTATCCATAAATTTGAAAATATCACGTTTAGTCCCCATGTCCAAATAATTTTTACATATATTTTAATACTTGATCCTTGTGGTAACCAAACTAGTCACAATCTGCTAATAAGAGAATGACCCATTTATTCCAAATCTGTTTTCCATCTATTTGCTGTTCTTTAATCCATGCCAGTTCATTGCCTCCTTTGCCATGTGCTTGAATTTTGCTTAGCAACCTCTTATGGAAGACTTTATCACAAACCTTCTGAAAATCCAAATATATTACATCCATCAACTCCCCTTCTTCAACATTGTTACTAACATCCTCATTAAAAAAACTCCAAGTTCATCAAACACAATTTCCCATTTACAAATCCATACTAACTATGGCCAATCAGATTATCAAGCCGAAGTCTATTTAACCCATCCTTTAATAGATTCCAGCATTTTCCTACTACTGATGTAAGGCCAACATGTCGGTAGCTTGCTGTTTTCTCTCTTGCTCCCTGCTTAAATAGTTGGATGACATTTGCTATCTTCCAATCCACAGGAACCATTCCAGAATCTATAAAATTATGGAAAATCATCACAAACATCATCAAATACCTCTATAACCACCATCTTCAATACTCTGGAATGTCAACCAGGGTATTTCACAACTTGAAACCCCATTAATTTCACCATATAGTATTCTTATTTATGCTAATTCCCTTCAACTCCTCATACTGCGCAGCCATTTTGGTCTGTAGATCTGAGAGAATTCTGGTATCTTCCTCAATGAAAACAGACACAAAGTAATAATTTAGCTTCTCACACAGTTCCATATTTAACATTGTAAATTCTCTTGACTGTATCTGTATTGGTCCCACATTTCTTT